AGAGAAACAGACAGAATGAGGAAGAGAAAGAAGAAAAGAGAGAAAGATAGGAGGTGGGCAGGGCCTTTTTAAAAGGAAACATAGTGAATGTGCACAGGTGGTGCTCTTAGTGTCTGCAACTGAGGTTGTATCCTGTTAGAATCCCAATTACAGGCCAGTACAGATGCCTGAATACATACAGTTACAAGAAGTGGTATCCAGTTGTTGTATAGAGCCAAGGAATCAAATACAGCATGGATCCAGGATGGAGGTTGTTGTTGATTAATGAGAAAACCAAGAAGGTACTCCATGCAAAGGAAGACACATAATTTTTGACAAAGGTGCCAAAAGCATGCAATAGATGGTTTTTGAAAACCTGAATGTCTAACTGTAGAAGAACTGAATTAGTTCTACCTCTCTCACACTGCATGGCAACCAATTTTTATGAATCAAGGACTTAAAAGTTAGGTCTTACACTTTGAAACAAATTCATGAAAACAAGGAAAATGTTTCATGTAACTGTTTTTAAAGACTGTTTTAAAAGACTCTGATAATGAAAAAAAATAGTATCAAGAATTAACAAAAGGGATTCCATAAAATTTCTAAAATATTTCTGTGCAGTTCATGGAAATCTGTATGGACATTTCTCATGAAAACTGGAAGTAGGAGCCCACCAGTGGTTATCACACACCTTGATTTACAACTGAAGGTCTCTAGTGAACTTGGGTTAGACATCCTTCAGATGCATCTGTGTCATTGTCCTATTCAAAGACATCAGCAAATGATGGTTAGCCTTGATATCCATCAGCAGATGAATAAATAATGAGAGGTTATTCTGTTGCCAACAAAAATGATGTACTTTTATGCATGCAAATATGACTATGCTGGCTACTCACTATCACAAGCAATATAAACAAGCCTCAGAAGTAAAAATACTGTATTACCTTTCATATAGAATATCTAGATTTTAATTCATAGGTGAATGAGTAGGTATGTCATAATCTTAGACATAGGAAAAAAGGAAGAATTGGAAGAGTGGAAAGCAGGGCTAATTGAATGGACGTGACATTAAAGCATAAAGGGTATAACGTGATGGGGAGGGCTCCTCCTGAATGCTGTGAATATGTCTTTCTCTTACTGGTCGATGGATAAAGCTGTTTTTCCCAATACTCTGTCAGGATCTAGCCAGGCAGGAGCTACCAGACTAGGAGAATTCTTGGAAGAGAAAAGCAGAGAGTCACTAGAGAGACGCCATGTAGCCGCCAAAGGATTATGGGTAAGCCACAGACTCCTGGCAATATATAGTATAATAGAAAAGGGTTAATAGTTAAGAGAGAGCTAGCCAATAACAAGTTTGAGCCACCAGCCCGTTTTTACTTAATATAAGCCTCTGTGTGTTTATTTGGGACTAAGGGGCTAGGGGACCAGGTGGGACAAAATCCTCCATCTATAGAAAAGTAAGGTAGGGTCATAAATAGAAAAGGACAATAGGAAAACAAGATGAATAAAGAACAAGGTGTGAATAAAAATGACCAAAAGAATCCTGCATGTATGTGTGCTATGTTTTTTAAGTTAGTACATAAATACAATAAAATTCATCTGTACGAGGTGGTGTAACTGAGTCAATTGTCATGCTACTTTTATTTATGAAAGGCTTTGTGTTATAAACTAATGAATGGAATAGTGGTACCTACAATTGACACTATTGATACCTGTATAGAAAATACAGTTACTTGCACAACTATTATTATGCCATGATGTATGTCATCAAGGTTCAGTTAATATTTTTACTTTATCATAGGAAATAGCAGTGGAAACTCTATATGATTTAATTTTAGATTGTTTAAGATTAACTGTCAAACTTTACCAGATTTGATAGCTCTTTTTTAATCAATTTTGTGCCTTTGAAATGCAAATTAAATTGAAAGATTTTATGAATAGTCCTACAATAGGAGACACAGTGACTCATGTGTTATTTTCATTAATTTTCTCAAAATAAAAAAGTGATACTATCTCATTGCATGAAAAGGTATTTGTGTTTTTTCTTAAAGTAGAATGCAATAGGATTGGGATCCCTCAAGGAGGTGCAAGCCTCTAAAGAAAGTAGGCAAATTTCTATGGAAACAAGCTTTAGCTGCAGGGAAAGTCATAAATTAGAATGCTTGTATAGAGAAACTTGGATTTTTGCAACACACAGCTGTCAGATTACCTTGCTAGCTGATTTTTTGAAGTTTATTATTTCTGTTAGAATTACCCCACACTTTCTGTTTATTTGCCATGTTTTAGGTACCTGTTCTCTAGATAATTCTGTTCAGCAATGAGGAATTTTATTTTAAAACACAGAATGTCTGTTTGCATCAAAAAATTTTAATACTGTCTACCCTCAGTTTTCCTTCAATTGTTCAGTGATTGCAAATTACTTTTAAAATCTTTAACAGCTCACTTTATTTAAATGTACAATGCCACAGACAATCCAACCTGAAAGTGGCAAATCATACAAAAATTTTAGTATTAAAAAATTATCTTCAGAAGTGGCTATACCTTATAGATAGTTTACATCTACCTGTCATTTTTTAAAATTTAAATTAGAAACAAGATTTTTTTACATACCAATCCCCATTCCCTCTCCCTCCCCTCCTCCCCTGCCCCCCTCAACACCCTATATATCTAATACCATTTCTGCACCCCAGGGAGAGTGAGGCCTTCCCTGGGGCTCTTCAGAGTCTATCATATTTTTGGGGACAGGGCCTAGGCCCTGCCCCATGTGTCTAGGCTGAGAGAGTATCCCTCTATGTGAAATGGGCTCCCAAAGTCCATTCCTACGCTAGGGATAAGTACTGATCTACTACAAGAGGTCCCATAGATTCCCCAGGCCTCCACATTGACACCCACATTCATGAGGTCTGGATCAGTTCCATGCTGGTTTCCCAGTGATCAGTCTGGGGACCAAGAGCTCCCTCTTGTTCAGCTCAGCTGTTTCTGTGGGTTTCACCAATGTGGTCTTGACCCCTTTGCTCATCACTCCTCCTTCTCTGTAACTGGATTTCAGTTCAGTTCAGTGTTTAGCTGTGGGTGTCTGCTTCATCAGCTGCCGGATGAAGGCTCCAGGATGGTATATAAAACTTGTATCGGCCTATCATTTTATGATGTGTTTATATTACCAAAATAGCTTATGAATAAATGATCATATTCATTATAAAAGTAACAGAACACTTTCTTCATTTGTGATGGGCATATTTTTGATAAACGTCAGATACTGGGGATCACAGTTGCAACTAGGACTAGTATCCAACAGTATCAGAGTCACTTAGTTTGTCTTATAAAAGGCATGAGTCATATAGATCAGGATTCCATCATCCTGTTTGGTTAAATTTTCTGAGGAAATGCTTGCCTGGCTTTTGAACGGCTACAATGTTTATTTATAACTAATTGACTGAATTTTGTTTTGGTAGAACTACTGTTTTGTTTTCTTTTTGTGTAGTTTGCATTGGCCAACTCCTAATGAGATACTACATATCTAGAATTATTTAAAAAATTTCAAGGGATGCTTAAAATTCAAGTCAAAGTAAAAGGAAGTTCTCTATTTCTAACAAGAAGGATGTCACACATTACTACAACATTAGTTTCTAATCCAAAACCTCTGAAATAGTAAATTTTTATCCTGCCCAACCACAGCAACGGACAGTGTTGCAAAGCATCTTAGCATGTATGAACCTCCTCAGCTCCATCCATCTCTGTTTGTTGTAGTTGCAAATGTCCCCTTAACTAATATCCAGGTCTCTAAGGTCCTCATTTTTTCATTATGACAGAAACTTAAGGGAACAAAATAGTAACGCTGTTGAATATTAAAACTAAAACTAAGGAAATTGAAAGTTCAAGTGCAGAGGAATAGTGGCAAAACAAATGTATAATTCAAAAGCGAACATTTTGCTGTCTAGGATAAAGAGGCTAAGCTAGTAAAGCCAGGTCTGAGTGAAGGAATGTTAGAGTCAAAGGAGAGAAAAGCAAATAGAGAAGTGACGGAGGCAGAGGCCTCAGAGAAAGGGTGGAGATTAAAATAAGAACCTGGTCCTTTAATGCCATGTGTTTAGAAACACATTCCCTATAACTTCCCAGTAGTTGTCTACCACCTGAAGCATCTCTTAAAGTTGCTACTGTTCTTCACCCTTCCTTGTAAGAAGTACAGAGATAACAGGAAGTCTTGATCCATTATTTGACCTCCAATGATATCCGAATAAGAAATAATGGTTTTGCCACATCCAGCATGGCCTTGTGTCACCTGAAACTCCCCAGACCCAGATCTCTATCATTCACTTTATTCAAGTGCTTTGCTTTTTCTCCTCTCCCAACAATGGTTTAATTGGTTCACATCAGTATCAGTATATAGTAATTTTTGTGTGTATTATTTCTACCTAGCTTTCTTCTGCCCCTACTCTCACATAGCCTGCCTTACCCTAAATTTTCCTTGTATGTAAGATTAATGATATTTTCCTGAAGGTTCTATTTTTTGCTAAAATACTACCCTCATCGTATTTAGCATTTCCATAACAAACTCAGAGCTTCGCTGTACATGGTAACACAGGCCTTTAATGCCAGCACTTAGGAGTCAGAGGCTGGTGGATCTTTATAAGATGAAGGTCAGCCTGGACTACAGAGGGAATTCCAGGACAGGTAAAGCTATACAGAGAAACCCTGTCTGGAGAAAAAAGTGAAGAAAAGAAAAAAAGCAAACCAACAAAACCAAATTCAGTTTTTTTGTATTTGGAATTTTATATCAGTTAATTAAGTTATATCTAAGATTTTAAGGCATTATCATTTAACCTAAAACAGAAATTTTATATAGAAAGATATATAGACAGAAAGAGATAGATAGATAGATAGATAGATAGATAGATAGATAGATATAGATATGGGTAAATAAATACCATCATAAACAATATAATAAGAACAAGTGACATTCTTTTTGCTTAATATAACTTTCTTAATATATAACTCACTAAATACCTCACTCTGTAATTTGTTGTAAATGTCTGTTCTCAAATATTACGTTAAGAATGAAATAAAAGCCAATAAGACCCTATCTTTCATCTCATCTTCAAATTTAATTCCAATTTTTTATTACCTACTTATAAAATGTGAACATAATTCTTAGTATACATGCCATGTGTGTTGTTGTGTTAGCCATGCAAAGTGAGCTTGTATAAACAGCAGTAAGATTCAGGTGATGCCAATGGATTTACTTTAGAGAATCCAGTATCTTCACATGTTGACAAGTCTGAAATGAGCAGACTTCCACCATATAAGGAAACCCAAGTTAATGTTATTTTCTTTGCTTGTCTGCTGAGTTTCATCATAAGCTTGTGGTCGCTCACTGTTCATGCTGCCCGTTGTGTAAAGGTTCATTTGTCAACAGTTTCTCTTTTGACGGACATTATGTAGACGAGGCTGTGGTGGTAAACAGTTACCTTTGTGAAAAAGAGAATGTCACTGGTTCCAGATTTGTAAAACTTAAAAGTATACAGTAACTACAATAGTGTTCCAGCTGTCTTAGCACTTGACAGATCTGGTACATCTGTGACCTCTATTCACTCTGAGATCTATTCTTAAGTCTTCATTTGCATGAGGATTTAGAAGTCTACATCAAGGGATTCTGAAAAAAAAAAGCAGATAAAGTTAATCTGATTCCATGCAGTTTAGATAAAAGAAAGGTCTTAGAAAACAGACTGCACAGGTGCTGAGCCATCCAACACACAGGTGACAATGCAAAAGAAAAGAAAAAAATTTCAAATGGTTACATACCCATTGACTGACCAAAAAAGCCACTGAATACACTGTGAGCGTTCTACAACTCTCTCCCCACAATGAAGCAATGTCCTGTGTTTAACATTGTCAAGAAACCATGAACAAGGAAGAGAAGTGAAATACGTGGCAATGTTAACTTTAAAATGTTCTTTGGTATGAAAAGACAGAAGCATAGCTCATACTTACGATGAACACATTTAGAATAGTTCTACTGGTTGAAATATTAAAATGTTCTGTCTTATTAAAATATGTCCCACAATATTCAAACCCTGTACATTCTTTTTCCTATTCATCAAATAAGACTGTAATTTAACAGCAGGGAAATTCTTGTATTGAATTATAGTGGCTTTGCTGGTATCTTCACAGTGTATAATGACATTTGTAAATCATCTTAATTCTTACTTAGGTATATAATACAAATAGGTATATATTGGAAGATAATGCCTTCTGCCTATGATTCAATTTCTTTTGCAACAATTTTTGCTTTTCCTCAGTAGTATTTATGAAAATATAGCAATATTTTATGACATCTTTTATTCTTTTAAAGAAAATGAGATGCATGCAAAGAGCCAATTCCACTGATTAAAAATGTACATTTTGCAAATTTAATGTAAGATGGGTATAGTATGCCCAAAGCAAGAACTGCTTTTCAAACAATATGCTTGTGTTTTTCATCATGCAGAGAAAAGATGCAGAACAGCAGCTGGCTTACACTTCTGGAGTCGGAGATCCTGCCTTGCATTCTGAATGACTCTTTCCAGACGAGTAGACCTGAACAAGATAGTTCCCTAAATTACTATGTCTGCTAATATGCTTATGGTAATTACAGCTACTTTCTGGTTACTTTTAAAATGAAAAGAGCATCATACTCTTTAAAGCACAAATCTTGGTACAGGTCTTAGCTCTTTATAATGCTTCTCATGTGCTGGATATCTGAAAAATCCCAAATTCCACCAAGATATTCAACAGTGATAGCCTTGCCATTTCTAAAGGTTGCTGCCATGAGGGTAGGAAGCAGAAATTATTGTTGGTGTTTTTATGTCAACTAAGAAATTTTATTCCCCTGAGGGTAACTGAGACATATAATCTGGCCTTGTCATTGGTAAAGGTTTTCAATGACTCTTTAGAGATTTGCAAAGGTCTCCCTTTTATTAGGAAAATTGATCTTGGATTATGAAGGTCAGCAAAGTCTGGACTTTGGTTCCTGTGAATACTACACAGTCAGCTGCACAGGAGATACCTACTTTGTGAGTTAACCCCATCTCTGTTTGCGTCTATGGCCTTTGGAAGAATGCACACTCAAAGTGCTCAGCACTTACCTTCAACTGTGTAAAACAGAGTTTTAAAATGGCATGATGTGTGTGTGGTGAAATTTGTTTTCTAGGCCAAAAGGTCTAAGGACTGGGGAGAATCAAAATGGCTAAGGTGAACGTATAGGCAAATAGGAGACTTTATGGCTGCCACTAAACATTGCTGTTCCCCTCAACTGAAGAGGACACAAATGGCATCTTACAGGCTTGCTTCTAGCCATGATCAAGAGCACTACCTTGTCATATGACCTTTCCTCAACCAGCTAAGGCTCATTTGTCTAACACTTTACACATGTCAAAATTTAACTTTTAGTGTGGGTGCCAGTTAGGAGGCCTGGGCAGTCTATGTGACCTCTAACAATGGAAACACTATTTATTTCTAGTGCACAAATGGACATTGGGAGCCCATTCCCTATGGAGGGATACTATTTCACCACAGATACATGGAGGAGGACCTAGGCCCTCCCCCAAATGATGTGACAGACTTTGCTGATCCCCCTTGAAGGCCTCACCCTCCTTGGGGGGGTGAGTTGGAGGGGTTGGTAGGGGGCATGGGAAGATGAGAGGGAGAGGGAATGGGGGGTTATATGTAAAATGATTGTAAATTATTAAATAAAACAGTAGATAAAAAAGAATAACTGACAGCCACAATAAACAGGACAGAATTGTTGTTATGAAATTGAAGCATTAAAATATTTTGTAATAAAAAATTTAACTTTTAGAATTCTATGAAGGATGTCAAGGAAATTCATATTTTC